GTTTAATAGCTCTATGGTGTACCATCAAAGATGGCCGTCGTAGTAAAGCGCCACCTTCAGGCTTAGTATACATATTATTACAATTAATAAGCCCTCTGACTGACTATTATTTCATTAATGATAATGAGTAATGGTAATAACAAATTATTAAACTATTGTAGCCAAAACGAGGCCAAGTGAAACATCTTATTCAAAAATAAAGTACCAAGTAATAAAATTAAAATCGTATACATTACACCCAAACACCGCAACGCTCGAGTTTCAAACATACAGGTAACTAGCTGTACTGAACTTTCTGAGTAAATTGAGGGCGCATTTGCAAACGATGGCGCTTAGCGAAATTTGATTGGCTAAATCTATGGTAGCCATCTTGGATGGTACACACACACAGTTCTGCGTATTTCGAACATCGAATACATTGCGGTTAGCACTCTAGTATTCTTATTATACCTCTATGCGAATCAAAGATCTTATAAACACAAGATAGCATTCTCCGCGATTTACGCGTAACAAATAGAAGCGTCGGTCAAGGTTCAAAAGTTTCCAATTTAGCAAGAGGGCGCCGTTCATGCGCTCTATCTACGGCTCTGGCTATTATACCAAAGAGAAAAAGTAATCAGTTTTGGAAGAGGGCGTCCTATCTGTTGCCATGGATCTGAGATGGTTCGTGTTCGCGATTTTTTTTCCGTACGAAACATTTGTATGAAACTTCACTCGGGCCATCTCGGATTGACTCGAGTGAGTACGATACGAGGAACAAGAGCAGACACTTCGCAATGTCGTGACGCTCGAGTTTTACTATTATTGCTCTTTCTATTTTTACCTACGGTTGGCCTATGAAATTTCACGGACTTATGTGATGTACGTCACTGTGTAACTAACTGTGACCTTCTTGAATGTTATTAAATGTTAGTATATTATCTACAACAACAACAGCTAGTACCTCCTGTTATAAAGTGTAGAGGTACAGTTATACCAAAGGCTAGAGAGAAAGAGGATAAACTATAGGCCTAACTACAGGCTGAGGTCTTACCTAGGCCCCTCCTTAAACTAGGCCTAGGGTCATAGGCTGACACAACAGTCACGCTTCACATACTGACATGGACTGAAATATTTTTTGGGGAAATGGGACAAAATTGAAGCATGAAATGAAAAATAGAGCGCATAAGAGAAATATTAAATAAATAATATACCATTCCGGCGTTATTGAACTTGTCCAAACTATCATTGTAATGTAATTAATGTTAAATAATAATAATAATAATAATAATAATAATTTCAGCATTTATTACCTTTGGCCTAAGCCTTTTAATGAAGAACCTACAGATACTGTACTATTTACTAGGCCTATAAATAATAATCGCCCAAGGGGAATATCTTTTGTGTTATTTCCCCTTAACGTCGTTTTTTTAATTGTCCTCTAATTCCTCCATTGTCTAATTCCCCTTAAGGTACAGGTAATAATAATAATTAATTAATAATAATAATAATCATTTCAGCATTAATTACCTTGGCCTACTTGTAATGAAAACCTATTAGTATTTCAAGGCCTATATAATAAACTAGCCCAAAGGGAATATCTTTTGTGTTATTTCCCCTTTGTCTAAGTTCCCCTTAACGTACAGGTAATAATAATAATAATAATAATAATTATTATTATTATTATTATTATTATCATTTCGGCATTACATGTAATTAACTTGGTCTAGCCTTGTAATCAAGAACCTGCCGATTACTATGCCTAATATTAATAACTAGCTCATTTTTACATTCATTTGGTGCTCTGCCATTTTGGCAGGTCTTATGGCATTCAGTATTTTAGAGCTGCCTATAATATCTCAGCTCTTCTTAATTTGAAAATAACTGTCATTCTGTTTCATTTGATCAGTGATGAAGAAAAACGCGCTTTTCCTTACACTCTGTGCTTTTCCCAGAAAGCGTTTTTAGTAGGCCTAGGTAATTATGCAAAACCCAGGCCTAACTAAAAAATTATATTTGTCATAATATGTAACTCAAGTTAAAATAACACTTTTCATTACTCGTGCAGCTTAATCAAATAGTATATGTCATTTTAAACGACCCATTGGTATTAACATGGTAACATCAATGTATTTTTAAAAATCAGACAGCGACGTTCTCTCAGAAGTTGGTTGTTCTGTAGACGTTTATCTGTTGATGACCTTTTGACCTCCTGAATTCTGCAATGAGATTTTCGGGTCGATTCAGCCGAGACGGTCCGAGTGGAGTTTCATGTAAATGTTTCGTACGGAAAAAAAAATCGCTTCCTGTTCTGCTGTTCACAGGATTGGTGTACGGTGGTATGGTCAGAGCGGTCAAGGGTCAAAAGTTTCCAATTTAGCAAGAGGGCGCCATTCATGCCTTATTACAGAATTTGCACGAGTAAATCGCGGAGAACGCTATCTTGTGTTTATAAGATCTTTGACACGAATACATTGTTTACTATCGGAACGGCATGTATTTTCGCGAAGCGATAGAACTTTCGTAGATTTTATATGCCTTATAAAACTACAGAATTGTCACGTTTTGGATATTTTTGTATTAAATTGTGGGTTTTAATAAAAAATATTGATTTTATTAGAAAAGCTGGAGATTTTAGGCTAGTGGCGGGAGAGCTGGAGGTTAGGGCGAAAAGCGGGAGTCTCCCGCCAAATGCGGGAGACTTGGTAGGTATGATAATTGCACGCACTGTATAATTACTAGGCCTAGCTAGGCCTAGTCTTATACTATAGCCTGTACCGACCGTCCCCCCCCCCCCGCTACACAGTACATCATCAGTACGCTAGGCAACAGAACGTGATGTGCCATCCTTCCCAGGTTTTCATGTAACTCATTTTCACAAAGCATTTGCATCCCCTCTTGGCTCATGAGACCGTATATGTCTCCATATCTTCGCTAATTAATCACCGTAATTTAGCTTACAGTACACTTATGCATGGAGTAACTGGAGCACTTAAAATGTACAATAATAATCATTTCACTAGGCCTACCCGACAAACCCCGAACTTTATTCATGCATTACATAAATAGTTTCATTGCTGTACTGCGACATCACTGGTGCTTGGTAACAACCAACTGACTGCAGACCATTTCCGGTCACACATTACTCTCCATAACGCAGCACCCCCTACTTCCGTCACCTCTGGGTAGTAGTAAGAGGCAAGGGCGGATTTAGGGAGGGCCGGGCCGGCCCCAGCCCCTCCTTTTGGAAATTTTTAAAAAAGGAACCCTCCTTTTAGGAAAGTTCAAAAAAAAAGGGAAAAAAATAAAGAAAGAAAAAAAGAAATAAGGAGAAGATGATGCCCGAAACGCCTCAGTGGTTAGGCCTATTTTCGGGCGTCTAGAAAACAACAATTTCACAGGGGATTCCCCGGGACGCTCAAGGGTGGTGTTATCTCGATCGGCTCAACTTTCGGTCCCGCCCCTCCCCCCTCCCACTTTTGAACACCTCTGGATCCGCCCCTGAGAGGGGCCCCATGCCGGCATCTCTCCGGGACCCATTTGGACTGTGACTGTGCCACTATCAAGCCTGGGTAGCAAAGCGCCACGTAGTAATGGGGCCCGGGGCTGCGCTACCCGAGAACCCACGGGTGTTACGCCAATGGTTGCAATGTCCCTCACAGGGTTCCTACCCCGACGAACGCAAATTTAGCGTGGTTGGTTATCGCTCAAAATCTATCTGATCCAAGTAGTTTTTGGCAGGGGTAGCACCAGTGGGAGTGAGGCAGGATTTCGGGAAGAGCCGCCGCTACCCCTGTCTGCGAGAAAAAAAACAATTCGTCGGAGGGAAAAACAAGTTATATGTATGTTTTCTTTTCTTTTCCCCCTTTTACCACTTTTAAAATATTTTGAGCGACGCCCGACCATACCCACTTTGCTTTCGTCGGGGACATTGGACCCCGTCAGGACCCCGGACTTCCTGTTGGTTAACTCCTGGCTTTTGCCACATCCTAAAATCCACCAGTGTACTCTGGGCAGTGGCAGCGCCAGCAGGGTGGCAGAGGGGGGCATAAGCCCCCACCGGACAGGTCAAGCCCCCACCGGACAGGTCAAGCCGCCCCCGCCGGACAGAGCTCGTCGGACAGTCAGACCAAAAAACATAAAAATAGGCCCACACCAAGCCAACACATGTCTGTCACAGTCTGAGAGTGCCATTTTCGGCCATTTAGAGGTTGATATTCTTTAAAAAAAAATCTCATTTGGGAGGGGGAACCCCTATCAACCCCTTCTCCCAGCTCGAGCCTACGAGCTCAAGTCCCCCTGTCGGACAACTTAGCCCCCCCAGAAAATATATCTTAAAGCCGCCACTAACCCTGGGCCCTCCTGATCCAGTGTTCAACTATTATTGCAGCTCATGCAAAAACCATTTTAGCATTACAGTAGTAGAACTTCAAGACAGCCAAATTTCTCCATGTAGTGAGATATATGTGATAACCTGGCAACCCTCATCAAGTTTTCTTCATCATGGCATGTGTTACAATTCAACTTAACTTTTATTTTGGAAACATATTCCATAGCGCTTGCTACACAATAAATAACAAATTACATTAAAAAAAAACCTTCAAGACAGCCAAATTTCTCCATGTAGTGAGATATATGTGATAACCTGGCAACCCTCATCTAGTTTACTTCATCGTGGCGTGTTTTACAATTCAATTTAAATTTTATTTTGGAAACATAGTCCATAGCGCTTGCTACACAATAAATAACAAATTACATTTTAAAAAAAACCACATGTACTGTTATACTGCAGACTTCTGAAGTTAAATGCATTTCCGTAACTGTCTTCAGATTTCCATAGTAAATGAAAAATTTCCGAAGCACATAATAATTTGCCCCGAGTGCAAGATATGGGTTGCTCAAAATTGCAGTACAGCTGTGAAACTTCTAATAAGCTGGACAGGATGGGTCGCTTTTTCAGGATGATTGGTCCGTTTGCCTTTAAAATAATGTGTATTATTACGAATTGAATATAAACTAACATGAAACAAAATAAATGGCACAGAGCAGTGGTTCCCAACCTGGGATTCGAAAAACAATTAGTGCAAGTCAAAAATGTCAACAGTCAGTGGTGTCACCAGCTGGGGGGGGGGGACATTCCCTTTGTCGGACATGCCTGGACTCCCTGTCGTCCGACAAGCGACTAGGTCGTCGGATCAAAAATAAAAAGAATAATAATTTGCCTATCAAAATAACGTTATTTTGACTGCCAATCCCTAATATTGTGGTCTAAAAAAGCACATTTTTATTCATACTAAGCCATTAAAACTCTCCCGTGAACAATACGAGTTTTTATTCCGAGCCCTTGGTCGAACTCTTTGTTGGCAAATTTTTTGGCGTCACCCATGTCCACAGGGGTCCACGAAAAATTTGGGGTCTGCTAGATTTTTAAACTACATTTCCATTACTTCCTTGTTTTTCTTACAACAGTGTGATAAACATAATTGCTAATCATAGTGCCTTATCAATAATGAAATACCTTTGACACAGGTGGAATCAGGAGGGAGACCCTACATTTTACAAAATAAAAATAAATTAGGGATTAAACATTTTTCGTCAATTGATGATTAAAACATTTATGATTGAAAGTTTTGTCTACATGCTATTAAAAACTATAGATAAATTACCGAATGTGTACAGAAATGCACATGCTCGCTAATGGCACGATCCCATCACAGGTTACAGTTTAGATTAATCATATTATCCAGCAAGTAATCACTTGATATTTTTTTAACAAAACACTAACTCAATATTAAAATATTTTGATTCTATGTAATTATGAATATTATGTGATGGTTTTCCTTAAACTTTAAGAACTTGGTGCTTTTGGTCAGAAACCCCCACCGTTACTTGAGCATATTCAGAATATATTGCAAAGTTACACGGACGGACAAATTTTAAAGGTAAGAACGTTGTATGTACTTTGGTACCTGATTTAACTAATGAAATGCTTAATATAAATATTTAATTAAAAGAAACAATTGGTTTATATAGCAAGACCTATGTGCACATTGTAGGAGGAAGTCTTTATACCCCCACCCCCTTCCACCCCACCAAAACAAATGTGTACGTTGGTCTAAATCAAAACCTATAACTCGAAAAGTATTAGTGTTATCAGCCACTCCCGCGTCATGTGGTCACAATACTTCCATCCATGTTGGGGCTGAGCGAGGAAGGTGTTAATATAAACCATTTGAAATTTTTGGTAGCGCTCCCCCTTCCCCACCCTCCACCCCATCAACACCTCATAAAGAAAAATCCTGAATGTCATTAGTTTTGGTAGCGCCACTGCCCCCCCCACCCCACCCCCACCCACCCCACACAACATCAACCCACAAAAGAAAAATCCTAGGTGCTCCTAGATAAGAGATTTTCCAGCATAAGATGGAAATAGCTTATGGTAGCCTTGCTACTCATTGGTGTTTTTTCTCGGTGAAACGCTCGATCACCCCAATAATCCGTCTTAATCACTATTAGTAATAAATCAAATATTTAGCTACAAAAAAATTATTCTTTGTATAATATATTATGGTATCTTTTATTAAAGCATCATCTGGTCAGAATAAATCTGAATTATGAAATTTATTTTTGCAAGATGCTGTTTTATGTATAAATTAATTTCTGATCCCAATTCTTAGGAATTAACTCAAAATGCAGAAGATGCTGGAGCTACAGCAGTTCAGTTCCTGTATGACGTGCGTGAATTTGATACTGAGAAACTGTATCATGATAGGCTTGGACCTCACCAAGGATCCGCTCTTTACGCCTACAATGATGCCTACTTTAAACCACAGGATTGGGATGGGATACAGAAGCCATCGGTCAGTGGCAAGAAAAAGGATCCACTGAAAGTTGGTCGATTTGGAATTGGCTTTGTGTCTGTGTATCATATGACAGGTAAGCTGGGCACTTAATCTGCCCAATGATCGTCGGCCGACGCGATTCTATGTAGAACACAACGACAGGATGCACGCGCAACAGATTGTTTTTAATGACGATCAGTTCAAACTGCCGCCAACAATCAGCAGACGGTGTCGCGTCGTCTAACGCTCACAGGGAGTCGAGTTGGGGGTCGTCGTACAATGCAGTGAGAGCCCGGATGGTTACAAATATAATTTGACAAACTATATTTATGATACAGTGTAAAGCCACATTTACACTAGACACGATTATGACACAACAACGACATATCATAACATAGTTTGCATTCTTCAACACTGCGAGCATCTGTATCGTGTCGTTGTCGTAATCGTGTCTAGTGTAAACGAGGCTTTAATTTAGTAAAATCATTCCTTGATAGGAGGAAAAGTCTCCTTTGCTGTACAAATCTGAACGTTAGTTGCATATATGGTAATTTACTTTACACACTTTTAACCGTTGCCTCAGAAATTCAGGAAAGTTCAAAGTACAACTGCTTACAGCAATATTAGAACTCAGGATTACCTTCAATAATCAACATTTTAAATGAACTTCATTAGAAACTTTAATCCAGAACTTTTCCTCTGTTGATGTTAATTAGACTTTTAATGTTTTTGTTATCTTTGAAATGTTTAGGCCTAATTGCAATGAAAACAAAAAATTCCTATATATATATTTACAGCTGCGGTTTGCATTGGACGAGACAGATGTATGCATTACATTTAGATTAAAATAGTTTAGACTAAAATAATCAATCAATTAATATTTTTTTGCTACATTGTAGATGTACCAAGCATTCTCAGTGGAAATTATCTTGCTTACATGGATCCAACAGAAAAGATATTTTCACAGAAAAGTGGTAGACCTGAAACAGGCTTCCGGTTTGTGTTGGATGATAAAATGCAGGAACACTTGCGTATCGTAAATAATGAGATGTATAGTCATCAATTCGCACCTTACAATGATGTCTTTGATGACAACACAATCTTTCCTGGTGGAATGCAGACAATCGACTTTCAAGGGACACTCTTCCGCTTCCCATTAAGGAAAGACAAATCTGAGATTTCGAAAAACGTTTACAACAACAAAAAAACCAATGAGCTTCTTTCATCATTTTCAGACGATGCAAGTTTGACATTATTATTCCTAAAGAATATCGAAACTGTAAAGGTTTTTACTCGGAATTCAGACTCTAAGAAAACTCTTGTGATTTCAGCAACTTTATCTGATGATACAGCAGACCATGTGCGCGCAGCTAGGCTACACATTAATGATGGCGTCAAAAACAATTGGAAACATCGTCAAAAGGAAGATTTGGCAAAGAGTTATAAGATGACTATTGACGTCTCATCAGATATTAAGGAAGGAAACAAAAGCACATGGTTCGTCTGCACATACATATGTTGGCCGAAAGATTTAGAGATTCAGATGAAAGAAGAGGGTCTTTCAGCTTGGGTCGGTGTAGCAATGTCATTGGATTTTGTGGACGTCAAAGGCCGCACGTTCTGCTTTTTGCCAATGCCACCAGAAGAGAGCTCCACATCCCTTCCTGTTCATGTGAATGGAGCATTTGCCGTAAGTCCAGACCGTCGCTCTATTAAGTGGCCGAGTCAAGACAGAATCGAAGATACATCAGCCTTATGGAACAAGTATCTTGTAGGCACGGTTCTCCCAAAAGCATATGCAAAGCTCATTGTCGATGCTGTTGACATACGAATGGAGAAAAGTCTACTGGCAGAATGTATTTATAAAGCATGGCCGGACATCACTAATCCACTAGGACACTGGGATGAGATGGTTGAACCAATGATGTGTTTGCTGAAGAGTAAAAAGGTTTTCTACACTAAAGCAAGTGGTGGAAAATGGGTTGATTCTAGTGAGGCAGTATTCGATTATAAATGCAGCAGACATCCTGTTCATAAAATATTAGTTAATTTGCTGATAAAGTTAAACAAGCCAGTCGTAACTCCACCGGACCATGTGTACAAAGCAGTGAAACACTTCATTGATTGCGACGTTCAGAAGGTGACACCGATCTATACCAGAGAGTGTATTCGAAATCTTTCACTCGATGACATTGATAGAAAAGAAAAGCTAATGTTACTTGAGTACATATTACAAGACAAAGGGTACACTGATCTTGAGGGTATATCCCTTCTACCCCTTGCTGACAAAACATTCACTACATTTCAATTTCCTAGAAATGAGAATAGTAACATCTATATCACTACGAAGCAATATCCAATAGACCTGTTCTTCAATGTAAAGGAGAAGTTTCTTGATGACGATAACGATATTAAAGATAGTCTTCGACAACATATGGACAAAATTGCGTGTTCTAACCAGGATCGCAGATATGGTATGTTTATTTTTTTGTATTTGTTTAATCTGTATAAGTAGTCATAATTAGCCAGCAACAAAAGAATATCGTGACACAAAATAATAGGGCTATGTGGCCATTTTTTAATCTATACACTTTCTACCCATAATTTCATTATACAACCCTTTTTTACATATACACAGATACATAACCACTTTTGTTGTTACATTAATATTTGCGCATATCTGGCTTGTTTTTCTTAAGATTTTCCCAATTGTATTCTACAATTAAGGTATTTTGTAAAAGAGTAACTTCCACATGACATGCATCCGAAAAACAAACGAAAGCTTTTAAATACATGCACAGGACAACCAATGTTGGATGATATAAATGACAAAGGTGTGTTTTCATTCCTACTATAGTCAGTTTGTATTGTAATTTTTACCAAGCATGGATGCACTTGTCACTGAATGGTATCTACGTACAGTACAGACGTGAATTACTGCCTCCGTACCACGCGTAATCTTTGTAGTACACTCGTAGGATACGCGTAACAAAAACATAATTGTAGATAAACGTAGAACATAGTTAATTTAGAACGTAGAACAGTTTATAACGTAGTCAATAAGTGTGTACAATGCGTAGAACCGGACAACGTCAAACGTAGAACGTAGGATAGAATGTGGTCTATCGAACGTTTATCTAGAATAACGTTCATTATAAACAGCAAATAATCATAGGCCAAGGCGTACACCTTCCTTAAAATTAGTAATTACTCCCGAAAATAAAGTCAAACTTTTCTCGATGTAGTTTTAGACAGTCTTGTACTTACTCTTAGCTTGTATGTTGCTACAGCGGTGTATGTAACAGCACTGGCGTATACCTAAACCGGCAGATAATATAGGGTGAAAATCTGCTTCTCTACTCGATTGGGAGCCTAAGCCTATTATTGCATGATACATGGCTATGTTGTGCCTGTTATGCGATCCTAAAATTCAACTACGGCCCTATATAGGCCTAGTGAAGATTAAATTATCTTTCGTATTCTACAGACATAACTATCTAAAATACTGCAATCAATGTATAGCTGAGTTGCTAAATCAGAAAGTGACAAGAAGAAAATGCGTAGGACTGCAGCCTAGATAGTCCATGTCTTCATACACGAGAAAATGTAGTTCACTACCAATTCTCGTCGGACTCGGTCTTAACGTTGCATTCATCTATTATTAATATTTTGATTATTTAAATTTTTAATTCATTTAATCTTTCTCAAAAAGATAAAACCCATTCTTGTTTTAGTTCGTCTTTTATATTTTTATTAAGACTTTTAAAACCACGGTGTAATAATTTCTTTGTCATTATACCCGTAATGTGGTCGATGTTTACAGTTGGGAATAAACCACATGCTCCATACGGTCTCATGTTTCAAAAGTCAGAGTCGCGCTCTGTTTGGTTGAATGGTTTCTTATCACGCTAGCACAAAGGCGATTTAAACTTTCAGCTTTTATTTACTTAACTTGCATATTTTAATAATAATTCATTAAAAAATTAAAGCAATAATTAATAAACATTTTATGTTAATAAAATTTATTACCATATAGACAAATAATTGAGTATTCAGAGGAAGTAGAAAGCATGTGAAAAATTGACACACAACAAAATGAAGCACATGTTTAACCTTTCACCTAGATTAGTGGCGCGTGATTCATTGTTTGGATGAGGGCCAACTTCACACTGCCTCTTATAATTATAATTATTGATTATTATTAAATCCTCATTTTGTTTGTATTTTTAATTTGTATTTATTTATTTGGTTTCTTGCCGTTTTGGTCCATTACTGTTCTACAGGAATAAAAAAAAAATGTACCCGGTTTGGTAATTGCCGTTTCGACTTACTGCCGCTTTGACTAGAAAGCGCAAATGCTAGCGGTAACATTTTGCCCTGCATGCTTTTTTTTTTGGCAATCGACCAAGTTTTTTTCTGACGCACTTACATTCCATCCCATGTGCTCGTTGTTTGTTGGTATGTCAGGTTGCTTCAACAAAACTAGTTTATTTTTTTCCATAGATGTAGTGTCTTTGCATATTACTATTTATATCAGTTTTATGAATATGCTATCTCATCTGATCAAGGAATATGTATTTCAAAAACTGGAATTTATTCTAGTATTATGTGGTAGCTAGACGTTTTGAAGGATAGCGAGAAGATACAGAGTGAGCGTAGGCTTACACATGGTTATCTACAAGCACAGCGCGTAGGCCTTGTTAAGGTAACCAACAGATGAACATATTGATTAGGATAATTATCTTAAATTGTAAAAGCTAAACTTTAGAACAATAAAATACACAAGACACTTGCAATTAGACGATGCCTGTTTTATCTTTAATTAATAATTCAGTTGTACATTACGTTTATTCATGTTAAATTATAACGGTAGACTGAACCAACAAAAACATAAACAATTCTGTGTCCCTTCGTTAGGTCGGTTCGCGGCCTACGTTCATCTTAGCTCTACAACGTACGTTCGTTGAACTACGTTCTACGCGTAAGGTTCGTGTAGAGGATTGTTTATTCTACGTCCTACATGGCCTACGCATACGCAAATCTTACGTTATGTCTACGACATTTACGCGTAGTAAATGTTGCAATATTATTTAGCTGTACTGTATCTATTTTACAAAAAAATAAATAAATAAGTGCCTCCCTCAAATAAACACCCCTTTAAAAACCCTTCTCAACAAAAAAAGCTGTGCTTTATTCGAATAAATATATCGTGAGTGGATTTCTCGTACGATTAAATATCGTAACGGTTCTGGGTTCGTGCTTCGAACAGGTCATTCCATTCATAGAAGAAGCCTTTTGATGGAGAAAGTGTACCTTTTTAGCAAAGGTTTGCCTTGGTCGAAACTAACTCCGGCTATATAAAATTGATTATTTGCGCGTGTAGATAACGCGTGTAATTTTGTTCTGTATTTTTACGCATTGTTGTGCATCGGTGTATGCATCAACATCTACTTATTGAAATGCTTAAAAAAAAAAAAAAATTTCGTTTTTTAATCACATATTTAATAATTTATTATCTAAATCTCAGCTGATACCTCGCACAACTCGTTAACGTCTCGTATCTATTTTCGTGATGTCATGGCTAGCTGGCTCACACTTGTTGTGATGTCTCGCACTTGTGATCAAATTACACGCTGGCTCTCACTTTGGCAACACTCTTCGGCAGTCAACTCGCCCCTAGAAAACCCGCCCTTGGAAACTTGCCCCATAAAAGAATGTACACTTCCTAGACCATGCAGTCTTCAAAATAATCAACTACATTTTCCACATACATAGACATTTTTGAAACTTTATTCAAAAAAAACCTAAACCATAGTTCACCACTATAGACACTTTTTGACAAAAATGAAAAATTACGACTTTGTTACCCAATGAGAAGTGTTCTAATATAGACAATGGGTCGTGTCTCTCAACATTATTTGTTATATTTTTATTATTCATTATTTTCACTTGACTCGCATAAATAATTTTGTTCGAAGAACATTTATATGCAGTTGTACTTCGCAGCACTTCACTTGCAATTTGCAATTTCTAGTAGTAATAGATTTTGAATGTGAGAGTGCCTGAAGGTCACAGTCTGGCACCCGAGTCCTATGTCGGCCAAAAGGCCTATAATGCATCGTAAGTGGATTTCCCGTACGATGAAATATTGTAACGGTACTGGGTTTGGTCTACAGGAGTTCGTGCTTCGAAACATGTAATTCCATTCATAGAAGAAGTCTTTTGATGGAGAAAGTGTACCTTTTTAGCAAAGGTTTGCCTAGGTCGAAACTAACTCCGGCTATATAAAATTGATTATAAGATTGAAAAATATTAATCTTGTTATTGTAGTAGTGATAGAAACTATGTACACGTTTAATTATTGTTACTTATTTATATGTTGCATTTTATACCTGTATGGTTGTAGTTTCTTCTCAAAAGTTTTCTTACTCCAGTACGTTAACAATTTACAATTTAATTTTATAAAAGTTCTATACTGGTCGTTTGTCATCATCATCATCATCTGTTTTCTGCCTACAGGCAGGATCACAACAGATTATTTCTTCATGGTCGGGCAATACAAATTACCCATTTGGCAATAGAGGCCCAATTAGGCAAGCAATAGAATCAGTGAGAAAAGGAGCATGCGCACATACTCTTGGAAGCCATGGTTCCAAAACAGTGTTAAATTTGCTATTATAACACCACTGCTAATGAATAACATCATTTGAATAATATTTTAAATAACATATCATGGCCAGGGGCAGATCCAGAGATGTTTAAAAGGAGGGACCGAAAGGAGGGGGGGGGGCCCGAAATTTGGGCCGATCGAGACAACACTGAAATAGAAGGTCCGGGGGAATTCCCCCGCGTAATTTCTATGTTTTAGACGCCCGAAAATAACATTTGAGGCGTTCTCCGCTATCATCGTTTTTTCTTTTTCTTTCTTTTTTTCTTTTTTTTTCTCTTTTCTTTACCTCTCAAAAGGGGGGGTTCCAGGGCCGCGTTGGGCCCCCCCCCCAAATCCACCCCTGATGGCCTACACTTAAAAAGCAATCACTAAAGTAAATAGGAAATATATTTTTACGATCTATTCTGTATATTTTTTCATTATAGGTTTTTCACAGATTACCCACCTTACAGTGGATGCAGTGGTTCGTATTGTACAAGAAACACTCCCAAAAGAGTGGCACAATTGCAAGGAAATGGAATGGACACCAGGACAAAATCAACACCCACCCACGACTTGGCTGAAATTGTGTTGGGACATGCTTAATAATGATTTCAAGAAAAACTTGCAAGACTTCCCTCAGCTACCATTAATTCCAAAACAATTGGCAGACAAAACAATTAGACTGTTGTCCCTAAGAAAAATATCTTATATAATATCTGTGAGCATGCCTTTCGGAAGTATTGACCGTAAGGTTGAAACGGTATTAGAAAAAATAGGTTTAAAGGTTGTTTATTTACAATCATTTACATATATAGATAAACATCCCCAGCTATATTCTGAAGGGTTTGTCCATTATTCGAAACCGGAAGGTGTTATAAAGGCACTAAATGCGTTGCCAATGTCAGAAATGTCAAGAAGCCTTGATCAACTTTCTCAAACAGACAAAGAGATATTACGAAAATTTATGTCTGAAATTCAACGTGGTTCCTTTTACAAGAATTCTGAAGAATATCTATGTTATCGTATGTTGCCAATTTTTTTATCATTTCCAGATAAAGAGCTGTTTCCTGCTTCAAACATCTGCAAAGTTGTAAAAGCTACGGAGCTCCCAAACTTTGCTACAACAGAGAAAATGATTGGATTGTACGATACTACTGACGACATAATTGCATCTGAGCTTCAACTAGAGACTTGTAGTAGAGATGAAGCAATTTGCCAGATGCTGGATATTGTATCAGAAAATGATATCGAAGAACTCATAAAATGGATTTTTGAAAGATGGACTAATAATCAAGACCCTCATTTAGTTTCAAAACTTAAAACAACATCATTTTTGAAAACAAGTGAAGGTAAAATTAAGCGACCGTGCGATCTGTTTGATCCGACTGATGAAGTTGTGTCAACTCTATGGGATGAATGCGAAGGGGTGTTTCCAGTAGAGTACATCGACAAGAATCACATCCGTATACTGAAAGACCTAGGCCTAAAAAATAGACTACATATTACAATAGAAGATGTAATATCACGGGCGAGGAGGATTGAAAGGTATTGTCAAAGAAATAAGGCACTGAGTCTGTTAATGCTCCTTAACAAAAGGGATGACCTTATATCTCCCAATCTTGAAAATATCAAATGGGTTCCTGTTCTGTGCAAACCAAAGGAGTATCCTCTTACATGGGGCTGTGAAGAAATGGTGGTAAAACCGACTGAAGTCCTGACTTCAGAACACATACTTATCACCGGATCGTCAATGGCGTTGATAGATTCGAACGGCACAGAGTTGAACAATAGCATTCTGAAAAGATTTGGATGGGATAAACTCCCTCAAGTGAGTTTAGTTATTAATCAACTGGTGACTTGCATTGGTTTGTGGGATGATGGAAAGCTTGATTTTAACAACGAAACCAAGATCCTTCAGGAAATATATACGTATTTCCATGAACATTTGAATGATGATATCAAAGAAGTGTTGTCAGATATGAAGTGGATATGGCAAGGCAACAAATTTGTGGAGGCTCAGAAGGTATCGATTCAGGAGATGAGGTTTGATATGGCACCATATGTCTACCAAGTGCCGAGTGTATTTGTCAGATTTAAACAGCTATTTCTGTCTTGTGGATCCTATCCGAAAATAAGCACAGACGCAATGTTGGATATCATTCAGAAAATTAAAGATAAACATGCAAAGACAAATATAAAAGCAGCGGAAGCCAAAGAAGATATACAATTTGTTATAAAAATGATCTGTCATATAGCTTCTGAATATGAACAGACCGAAATAAATACTGATAGAATACTGCTGCCAGAGGATAACAGAGATAGTCTTCGATTGCATCCGGTTTCTGAAATGTGCTATTGCGATATAGATGATTACGAAAACGAAGAACTACCTGATGATGACCAATCCACTCCAGTTTATCTTATTCACGAAGATATTCCTACCAAAATATGTATCCAATTTGGCGTGATCCCGCTTAGTAAACGTTTGGCCGACGCGGAAGAATTCGAAGGAATTGAACAAACCGGACAAAATGAACCCCTTACTGTTCGCTTGCGAAATATCTTACAAGGCTATGAAGCAAATGACATTCCAAAAGAACTTATCCAAAATGCAGATGACGCAAGGGCAACAGAAATTAAATTTCTTATTGATTTCCGTCAGAATAAAAAATACGAAGGCAAACTTCTCGATCCTGGAATGGCACGATGCCAAGGTCCAGCTCTATGGGTGCAAAATAACTCTACGTTTTCGAAAGAAGATTTCCAAAACATTACTAGGTTGGGAAGTCAGAGTAAGATGACGATCCGTGAAAAAATTGGCCGATTTGGTTTGGGGTTTAACTCAGTTTACCATTTGACTGATGTCCCAAGTTTTATCAGTGGTGATAAAATTGTATTTTTTGATCCACATGCCAAGCATCTTGGAAAACAAATTCGAGACAAGACAAAACTTGGGATAATGTTAAATTTTTCAAGGAGCACTAAACAGCTATCCAGATTTAAAGGTCAATTTGAACCGTACAATGGAGTATTTGGCTGCAATCTGCAACCAACATCCGAATGGGAATCTTACAATGGAACCCTATTCAGGTTTCCTTTAAGAACAGAATTACAAGCCATGGATAATGAAATAAAAAATGATCCATGTAATGATGAGAAGATACACAAAATCCTCAAGCATTTTCAGAAAGAAGCAGAAGATATTCTTCTATTCACTAATTATGTAAAAAAAGTCTCTCTCCACATGTTACCTCAAAACGTGACTGACCCCACAAAGACTACCGAACTGTTTAGAGTCAGTACAATACAGAATGAATATTGCGTAAAAGCATCAATGATTACATCGGATAGGGGAAATGCTTACTTTGGTGATCAGCGAATCGTTACTAAACAATGGGTAATGCAAAATTCAGATGGTTTGTATCCATTAGAATGTCATGTTAAAGAGTCAGATGCTGTTAAGATAGCCAACTCAACCTTTGGTTTGAAACATGGTCTGAATCCTCGTGGAAGTGTTGTTTGTCCACTTGGTAACAATACTTCGAATGGACTTGTATACTGCTTTCTGCCTTTATCCATACCACTTAGCAATTTGCCGATTTACATAAATGCTAGTTTTTCTCTTAGTTCAGATCGACGGAACTTAAAGAAAATGGGTGCGGGAGATGAGGAAAATTTGGATATTCAGTGGAACAATGCCATAATGAAGAGTACAATAACTAAAGCTTATATTGACCTCTTGTCAAAAGGCGAATGTGGTAACATTGTGTCAGAAGATGCAGCAAGGAAGGGAGATGTCTTTTTCTTCTGGCCAAAGAAAAATGTCCATCCCGATTATGAACTCATTGTTAAAGAATTTTATCGTATGGTTGTTGATGGAGATGGACATAGCCTTCCATTAATATTCCGAAAAAATGATCGTTGGTATGACTTCAAACATTTGGTAATAATTGATCCAGACCTTAAAAAAATACCAAACGTCGGATATCATGCGATGGAAATATTATTACAGCTTTTGAACTCGGAACAAACTGCAGTTATTGACATTCCTGGATGGCTTTACGGAATACTTTTCTCCGATCATGGAAGTGCATTAGAAAAACAAACTGTTTCCGAGGATCTTTTTTTTCATAAATATTTTTTCCCGAACATTGGAAAGTTTGATGATCAAATTACTGATATAATCATATTATATGTTTTGAGAGTAAATAAGTATCATGAATTAGTACAATCCACACCCTGCATTCCCTCAACGCCCAATGGAAAAATAAGGAAAAGAATTTCTGAATTGATATCTCCTACAGGAAGGGTATCTAAAATGTACAGTGCTGACGAGAAAGTTTTTCCTTTCGGCCAGTACGATGACAGTGAAATCATCCAAAAATTGATCAAGCTGGGTCTGCGAACGGAGGTACAGTGGTCAGATGTTGTGGAACGTGCCAGATCCGTTCAGACACTACAGGAAGTGAGTGCTGACATTGCAGTGGAACGTATAAAAGCTATTGTCAACTATACATATCACAAGCACAAAAAGGATAAGAATGGAATAGAATCGTTTCGTGGAACTATTAAATACATTAGCTTCCTTCCGTCAATGTTAAAACCAAAGGACTATCCTATATCGTGGTCAACAGACCGAGTGAAACTGTTTTCACCCAACGAGCTGTATACAAAAGTGAATGGAGATCTGGTTGGAAGCCTGTATCCAATAATTGATGAGAACATATTCGGCTTCCAGAAAGATAAATCATTAATCAAATTGGTTGGCATTTCACAACAGCCTGCTATTCCTGATGTTTTAAAGCAACTTGATAAATTGCTTGAGTGCGACATAATCAACTCAAATATGAAAAGTGTCAAGCGAATATATATCTCAATTCTTGAAAAGATTTACAGAGATACACACAATATGGAGCAACTGAAGAGCAAGCCAGTTGTATTTGTCGATGACCACTTTGTTAAAGGAAGCATATGCGCAAGACATGGATTATCTGGAAATATTTGCGGACTGCTATATATATTTCCAAAAGAGCTGAATGTGTTTTGGAATTTATTTTGCAAATTAGGTGTTTTGGAGAAATTTGGAGTTTCTGATTACATAAATGCAATCTGCAGATTAAACATGAAAGTTCAAAACAAGCCATTAAATAGTAAAGACGTTGATAATGTTATCCAAATACTTACTTGCCTGGAGAAAGAAATGCATGAAACATCAGATTTGAAGGATCTTCTTATTCCTGATGTTGAAAACATACTACATCCAGTCAATAAACTTTGCTATAATGATATCACATTTATGCGGCCATTAGAAGATGTCAAGATATGTAGTGGGAAGATCTCACAAAATATGGCCAAACGATTTGGAATCAAGGACATCCGGACGCGTACCATAATGAATTTGTCATGTAACTTGTTCTGTGAATTTGGTCAGCGTGAAGAACTAACTTCTCGAATATGCCGGATTCTTGAAGGTTATCCACTTGGTGTTTCGTTTCTTCGCGAAATGTTACAAAATGCTGATGACGCAGGAGCTAGTAGACTATGTCTGATTCTAGATCACAGAAATCATCCACTCAGTGGATTGCCATCAAATAATTGGAAGCACCTGCAGGGCCCTGCCCTTTGCATCTACAACAATGCAGTATTCAATGACGACGATATACGTGGTATTCAAAAATTAGGGAGTGGAAGTAAAGTGAATCAAGCAGACAAAACTGGACAATATGGTGTTGGTTTTAATGTCGTCTATCATGTAACCGACTGTCCGTCATTTATTTCTGATGGAGAAATATTTTGTTTATTTGATCCAAACCTAGAGTACGCACCAGGTGCAACATCAAACAACCCGGGTATGATGACAAAGAAACTGCAGGAAGTTCGCAAAATATTCACCAACGCAATGAACTGTTATCTGAATGAATTTGAGCAAGATTTCCCACAGAGAGGTGGAACAATCTTCAGGTTACCATTACGTTCTAAGGACATGACAAAGTTATCTACAATCAGCAGTCAGCATATCACAGAAAATCGTATTAGTGATCTTTTGACAGAGTTTGAAAAAGAAATGCCAGAAATTTTATTGTTCTTAAAGAACATTAGACAGATTAGTGTTCATGAAATCAATACATCTGGAGAGCTTTTTGAAAAATATTCTGTAGAATCGATGATACACAACAGAAATGAAAAAGAAAGAAGAATTATATTCATGGAAACAAGTTTAAAGGCTCCGGCGTCCGACACAATCAACCAAGTAGATTGTTCCTATGAAATTGAAATAACGTGTCATAATTCTGATCACAGAGAATGCAGTCAGCGTTGGTTGATTTCTCAGAGCTTTGGATTTGGTAATAATGATTACCGCTGTGGCCTTTCACGTCCACACCTCCAGGTAGGTGGTGTTTGTGCATTACTACCACATAAAGATGTAAGCCATAACATTGACCATAAGGGAAGTGTATATTGCTTTCTACCACTTCCTATTAAAAGTGGTCTTCCTGTCATTGTGAATGGCCATTTTTTTCTCGGACATGAGTCGCGAAGGGATATTTGGAATGATGATGATGGTAAGAGTGATCCCCGTGTCGTCTGGAACAATACATTGATAACGGTTGTTATCTGCCGTGCCTACCTAAACCTCCTCAAAGAATTTGCAAAACGGACTGGTCTGTCGGGATTTTCCAGTGATGCGATAACAGAAACAGAACTTGAGCGGCGCTTAACAGATTATCATTTATTATTTCCTGATCCTTCAAAGACATCATCAACACCGTGGAAAATACTTGCTGAATCATTCTACAAACGAATCGATAAAAATGAAAACGTACTACCTCTTCTAAAACACAATAGCAGTCACACAGAATACATCACACCTAACGAAATAAGATGGTGTTCTCCAGTTGGAAACAAGTTTGATAAAGGCTATTTTTACAGGGTGGATAGCAAAAACAAAGAAGATTTGGCGTTAAGGTCTCTTTTTATTCGCCTTGGAATAAACGTGCTTTATGCACCATTCGAAATATATAACTTTTTTAAAGCAGCTGGATGCAGTGTAGACTCTGTAACACCCAATCATGTATGCGAATTTCTATCGACTAATGATGGCAAATGTACACTAGTAGAGCTTCCACAGCCTATTGCTGAAACTACAATGAGGAGTAAAAAAGATCTTAAAATTCTGATGAAGTATATTTGCAAGAAGTCGATTAATTTACATCCTCATGGTCTTCCTTTAATACTAACTGAGGATAACTGTTTAAACGTATGTGACTGTCAAAACCGATCTACACAACTAAAAATAAATCCAATTCCAAATTATTCGTGCACTTTTGGAAAAAGAAACATATTTTTCTCCAGATTGGCGCATGTTTTTCCACAATGCAAATATGAATTTCTGCACAAAGAATTTATGGATTTCTTTGATGCTTCTAAATTTAAGTCTGTATCACTAGTAGATATTGAACAACGATTGGCTAAGCATCTGGATGTAAATAAGTATAGAGGGACATCATATGTTGATAATGAATCAGAGATTGTGAAACCGAATTGGATAAAAAGTTTGTGGAATTGTATCTTTTCATCGTGGAATCTTACTCCCACATTCGGAGTCGTATCACCAAATTCAGCCGAGGTGGATGAATTAATTCGAGCATTTAGTGACTGGGCTATTTTACCCGTGCGCTTCAAAGGTAAATTGTACTTGGTTCCACTTTCAATGGCGGATACAGTAACTACTGTTGGGTGCTTCTCGTACGATACATTGGCATGTATGAAGCTCGACTGTCCAAGGCTTTGCGTTGAACATCTACCGGAACGTATGCCTGTCAATGTATTACTTGCTTCTTCACAACATCCAGAACGTATTGTGTCTTTGCTTCACTTTTTACAGAAAGATGACGAGCAATGCTTTAATGTGCTAGAACCACAAGATTGCAGGGATTTGCTGAAATATTTTCAAGGAAATTTCACGTATTTGAAGACTAACGCAATAATATTTAAATTAAAAGAGTTGAAACTGTTTGAAACTATATCAGGCGAATTCGTAAGTTTAACTAATATGGATGTGCTAGTGATTCACGATGACATTCCTAAAGATGATTATTTAATATGGCTTGGCAAAGCACAAACAGTGTTCATAAAAAGACAGCTCCAGCTAGAAACGCTGTACAACAAGTTGGGGTTTGATGGAAAATCTAGTCTTCAAGTTTACTCCAGATTCATACTTCCTTGGTTTAGTTATTTCACCGACATTGGTAGGGAAGCTCATTTAAAGTGGATACGGGAGAAGTGGTTAGATAAGAAAACATTATGCCACATAGGTTTGACTTCAACTCCAATCATAAAGACAGAAGAGGGGATGCAACGGGTGGATTCACTGTATAATCCAGATATTAAGCTTTTCAAGGTTATGCTTCCGACGTATTCATTCCCCCCAAGTCCGTATGACGCGCCTGAATGGACACCTATGTTTCAGAATCTTGGGCTGATATCAGATGTAAGCGAAGATTTGTTTATAAGATTTGCGACAGACATTAAAAATCTGATTCCAAATGATACAATGCAGAGCAGAGAAAAGGCAGAAGTGTTGGTGGAAGCGCTAAGTCATGTACCATACAACTCATCGTTGGTAAGTAAAATATCAACTATCAGTTTCATGCTACCTGACAATCTTGAAGTAAAAAGCTTATTTCCTAACACATCTAAGTGTGAAAAATTTGAGAACGGAGTAATGTTTCGTGGGTCCGTTTTGTCAACACATGCACACCTCGTGTGGACAACTAAACCAGTGTTACCTGCTTATACATCCGAAATCAAAGACATATCTAGCCAACTTGGAGTGATCCAAAACCTGAATGCCGAGGATGTATTGATGCATCTGAAGAACATATCTCCAAGCACCCAGAGACAATTAAGTAAATATAATGTATCAACTATCAAGCAGGTTTATACAGACATATATACATTTCTAAATGAACAGTGTGATTGTAATGACAAAAACCCATGTCACGTATGTCAAACTATTTCGAAATTGATTCTACCAGATTTACCTTTTATCGTTGTTTATGATAGCGAAAAATCAGTTTTTCTGGTTGAAAGTTCAGTGGTATCTGAATATGTACCAAACGAAATCAAAGATATCCTTATTCCGTATATATATGAGCTCCCAAAAGACTTTGCAAATTATGGAACTCTCTTCAAAGCAGCTGGAATGACTAATAAGCTTAGTCTCAAGCAGTATTCATTCGTTTTAGAATCTGTTTTTAAAAAAGACAATACTGGTGGCCGAAACCCTAACTTTAAAAACGTTGTTGCAACATGTGTACGGAATATATTCGAGATGCTGAAGCATTCAAAAGAGAAAGGAATTGAAATAGATTTTGAATCTATCGACCATCTCTACTTTCCAAATAAGGAGCATGCTCTCATATCAACACGTGATTTAGTTTTTGCTGATGTCTGTAGTTATGAAAGTCGGATCAACTGTGGTGCTGCGAGATTGTTTATTGGTTTTCAAGAATTTAAACTAGATGAAAACTATTTTAAGTATCTCGACGTTTTACCACAGCGCTTGCAACTCCAAAAAATGAGCGAAGAGTTCAGAGAAAAAATGTTAGACGCAGAATGCGAAGATTGCCCTGAATCGAAAATTGGCCGTTGTGACATATCAGATACATATCAAGCTGTTCTGACATCGCATGAGTTTAGACAAGGTCTGATGCAATTGATAAACCACGAAAAAAGGCATTTGGGCTTCGACAAGAACGCCACAGAGCAAAAAATTGAAGCATTGTTTGGCCCGTCACTTAAAGTGCATTGTAACGTTAAGATAACAACTCAATTATATTATCGTGATATCCTACTGAACGGTAGCAATGAAACCACTGATTGTTGTCTGGTGAAAACAAAAAACAAAAATGAAGTTAATAGTTATGACATTTACATATATCATGACAAACATCCAGGGAGTAAAATATTCTTAAATACACTCGTAAACATTATTAATGGCATGCTTGGAAATGAGATTACAGACACTTTAAGCCTACAAGCTATCGTTACAGAACAATCTCCGTTTACAATCCGTGATACTTTAAGTAAGTTGAATATAACATCCTATGAAGGTCGTCCATATGAACCGCCTCTAGGAGAAAGAGTGCCAATGGATTCTCTTTACCTTCTTTCTGAAGACCCATTCAACACATTTTACCCAGGTGAAATAGTTGCGTACCAATTGTCTGAAGTTGGTGATGATAGTAAATCGAATTACATTTACGCTAAGATCAAATGTAAAATTCCTAGCGATAATGTGGACAGACTCATTTGTAGGTATGACATTGATATTGGAGATGAAGAAGGGCCATTCGAAGTTTCAGTTCTAGATATTTTTAAATTTCGTAAACCAGAAAGAGCTATTGGTCTTGAAGTGGTTCCTTATGAGGGACAAGACACACAATCCACATCCCATGAAGGTATGAAAGATGAAGTTAAAAACCAAATTAAGAAGGAATTGGAAGAAATATGGTGTCTACATGGTCTTCAAAGGCGTAAAGCTATCAGAAGAATTCTTTTGAAGTGGCATCCAGATAAGAACGATAAAGACAGGAAGGAATTTCACACTGAAATATTCCAATACATTCAGAATGTAATAAAGGAATTAGAAGTGGGTGGAGAAAAACTCTTGGACGCACAGGAGTTCTATAACGATATCAATAGGAGAGCACAGAGGGATTACACATCCTTCCACAGCAGGCAGCAGAGTGGGCATGCTAGTGCTGGTAGCTATTATAGGTATGGGTATGATTCGCACTTTACCACACAACAAAGAACTACACATACTGACCTTCCAGAAGCTAGGAGATGGTTAAGACAAGCAGAAATTGACCTATCGGCTGCAGAGACTGAAGGCAATAGATTCTGTGAGTGGATTTGTTTCAAATGCTCTCAAGCAGCAGAAAAGGCATTCAAAGCCGCGCAATATGCAATAGACGGTGAAAAAATGAGATCACATTGCATTACATCATTGGCATATCATATTAGAAGCAAAATTGACCTGACATCAGCAGCTAACCGATTGGTTAATGCTGCTGGAAACCAAATGCGCATGCGTTATCCAGACATGGTTTATGGAAATAAAATACCCAATGATGTATACACCATTAAAGAAGCGGAAGTGTCGAAGTTAGCAGCTAGGGAAATCGTAAATGGTATATCTGCTCTACTGAGATCCAGCCATTGTTTCCCATAGCATTGTTGTTTTTTAGTATTTTGCCTTTTATATACATATACAATCAATATATATATATACAATCAATATATAGAAAATAATGAAACAACTTCAGTAGTAGACTTTAAGAACACTGATTTATTATAAACTCGGATATTTCTGCCACTCCTGTGGCCTTCATCAGCGAGAATCAATATATATATATATATATATACAGGTATGTACAATCATTGAAAGTTGACTTGCAGAACACAAATTTATAAAATATAACAAAATCCAATGGATATGTGGCCTTCATCAGCGAGAATCAATATATATATATATATATGTACAATCATTGAAAGTTGACTTGCAGAACACAAATTTATAAAATATAACAAAATCCAATGGATATTTAGATAACTCCTGAGGATATTTCCTGCACGATTATAATCGTAACGGTACTGCCTTTGGTCTACAGGAGTTCATGTTTTGTACAGGTCATTCCATTCATAGAAAAAGGCTTTATATAATATTTATAATCTCTTTTATGTTTAATCATCGTAGATCGCTAACAAAAAATAGAAATGTATTGTCGTGTTTGCTGGTTATAGCAAACGCTTGTAACTGATAGAGTGTGCATTCAATGAATGTTAGATCATAGTTTATCGCAAAATGATTGAAATATTATTGTTTAAAAAAATAACTGGTTTTAGCAAATGTGTTTAATGGATAGCAACTCGGTGGTATGTCAATATATTATACGCTTTATAGTTGATCATAATATAATGTGGAACTAGGGTTTTTTTGTTTAAGATAATTGTTGGTTTTACGGTTAATGAGACAATAATTGTTGACCCTAAGGGGTCATTTACAATTATCAGCATTTTCACAAGTGTAAAAACAGTACTCTTTTTCGGTACCCCTTCTCTTCCCTCTGAAAGTGTACAAAAAAATGTTGATATTGCAAAACCATTCTCCATTTTTTTGTAAAGTTAACTAAAGCAATGTACTTGGTTGCTTCAAATGAATATTAAATGAATATTATATCCATAGTTACATTATAATTTTACCATTATTTTACATATCTTACAAATTGCATTTTATGCATTTAAAAACCCTAGCGTACTGTTTGTACACTTGCGAAATGTTAATAATGTTCAACGACCCCTAACAAATCTTAGATTATTGTCTTGTTTAACATAACTTTTTAATTGTAGGGAAGGTTTTTAACTATAAAAGTGTAAATCTAAATATAACTTTATTGGTAGTAAATGCATGGTTTAAGAGGTACACCAGGTATCACAAATCAACCCCGAGTAAAAGAAACCACAAGGACAAAACTTACCAGACCCTGGTTAGATTATTTACGCCAAAGATTAGATTATTATGCCAAAGTTACTGCAAATCTTAATTTAATTTTTTACCGATTATACAATTAGAAATTTACTACAAGTTTATTAATTCATAAGCTGTTTCTCAAACAAGACACTCGATCATACTTGGTCCGAAATGGGACCCAGCTAAACAGTTTTGTTAGAAATTGTTTTTGGCAAACCGTGTAGGCCTTTTTTTCTAACAGTTTGAGCATTGTACATGGCAGAGCATACAGCTGCGAAAAACAAAGCAATTTGTATACTGTATTTCCATGCCATCCCACAATTACATCACACATAAAAATATTGTCTTAGTAAGCACACGGTAGCAATATGACGTTTCCTCGGACAGCATAAAAATAATCTAAATTTAATAGATGTTGATGAATAGTACAATACTTCTGTCTTGCCTGTAAGTAGTGTAAATTATGAAGCATTTCCTCAGTAATAGGTCGAACTTGTAGTTTAGTAATGCTAACTGTACATTATCATAATGTAAGGTTAAAAGTGTGGTCCTACCATATTGTTTAACACAGCCACAAGACCGATAACAAACACTTTATTGAAGGTGAAATTCATTATTGTTTTGGCTTTCAACTAAATTATTGACCAATAACAGCAAAGCAATGGACCTTTCTGCTAAGCCGCACCTCTTGGATATTGTTGCTAAGGTCTCACAAAAAGATGGCGTGGGACAACACGCGTGTTGTTTAGGCACGTGCCTATTCCTGGCACTGTTGTGATTGGTAGTTTGTTACCATTGATTGACACTCCAGAAAGGTCCATTAATGCCATCAGAAATTAAAAATAAGTTATTGTTAAACGTTCAACTTTCTTGATAATTTTTTTGTTCGGAAACAGATGTCACATAGAATTAATTTGATAATAAAATAGAGTTTATTTGTATTTAATTGTTGTCACATAAACTGGTTTTTTATAGTGATGCGAAAGTGTATTCAAAGTCGACTGATACGGTCATATTTTACAGTCTTCTTAAAATTAAATAAAATAGATAATTGTGAAAGATTTAAATATTGTTTGAAGGTATTATTATATAGGAAACATTCACACCCAGACTCCTTTATTTAACTGTTTTCCCAGCATAGGCTAGAATCT